GTGTTCGCCATAATTGTATTGGTCATCGTAATTCTCGCCGCAGTTGACGTCCTGAATTGGCTGGATTTTCTCTATTACTGCAGCTACATTAAATTATCGATAACAATTATAAAATATGTGCCACAGGTAAGCAACCACTACAGTTTTGATTTATTTGTTAATACATATTTGTTTAATTGTGAGCAAATACATACATACATACATACGTCTACGTACAGGCACTAATGAACTATCGACGCAAAAGTACTTTGGGTTGGAGCATTGGCAATATTTTATTGGACTTTACAGGTGGAACCCTCAGCATGCTACAAATGATTTTGAATGCCTACAATTATGGTAATTATGATGATATTCGAAGATTTTTGGTTTCATTAAAATATGTACATCATAATATATGTATGTATTTATATACCTACCCATAGATGATTGGGTGTCAATTTTTGGCGATCCGACAAAGTTTGGCTTGGGCTTATTTTCAGTGCTTTTCGATGTGCTTTTTATTCTGCAGCATTATGTATTTTACAGGTATGTACATATGTTTCACAGAATCTGAGGTATGATTGTTTTTGGTCTGGCACGCGATTTTAAATGTATCAATATAGATACTTATTGTACATACCGCTCGTCTGATGACGAACATGTTTTATATAATATATCTGAGTTATGACGTTCAATTAGCATGCGAGTGATATGAATCTAAAAAAATATATACTTATGCAGTACATTTACATTTCTTTGCTATCCGCTTCTTTTAGGAATGCACAACAGCTTTCCAGCTCCACGCTCACCAACGCCACAGAAGTGGAAAATGGCAAAGATGGCGAGCAGCGCTAATCTACTTACTTAGTTCATATTTTCTGTGCACATTGTTTTGAACAATTTTCACGCAGATAATTTCCGGAAGTATTCTGAGATAATTTATAAAGTGCCCGCATATCTAAAAATGCATTTATATTAATTTGTATGTATGTATGTGATTTGATAATTAAATTAATTTTTATACTACTTAAGTAAAGTATGTGTAATAATTTAAACATTTAAGCAAGTATGTATATAAAGTCGATGTTTTTGCAAAACCGCCCATCGCCCAATTGCAAAACCGCTTATCTTACGGCACTCAAATTTTACAGGAGAGCGAAAAATTGATTTTTCTTTGAAGGCTTTACCTTGATAATCGGTACTTCCTCTAGCTATTATTTTACAAATCTGTTGTTTTAATTTAAATTTATTTTAACGTTTTTTATGCATAAATCTCGCTGCCTGGAGTTCAGGGTTACCAAATCTCATTTTTGCCACAGCGGCGAGTTAGGCGGTTTTGCAATTGGTCGATGGGCGGTTTTGCAAAAACATCGACGATATGCATTTGTGAATATATATGTATATATAAATATGTGCGTAAATCATTGTTGTATTAAATAAAAGTAGCTAAATTAATTAATGTTCTTTTAAAGATCGGTCCGCAAATATTTTCTAACTATGTAATGTGGTTGCTCTAGGAATTGGTTAAACATAGTAGACATTTTTTTTTTAATAATGTCCAAAACAGCAAATTCTCGGGTGAATCAACCTAAAAATAGTATTTTGGGGGAAGAGCTTTTCCAACCCATGGTTTTGGGTTAGCAAGGGGGACAGCTTTGCAATGACAAGGCACCTGTGTTGCCGTTGATAATTTACAGAAAGTCGCAAAAAAGGGGTAATTGACGAAAAAACGGGCCAACATATTATTTTTGCTTTTCTTTACTAGCAAAAGAATAACAGGCCTATTCTGAACAGAAACACTCTGGGAGTTTTCTCTCTTTTTCCTTTATCTTTTGTCGACATATGCTATTTTGTTTGGCCGTGAAGAATAAGCTTAAGTGGTTCTTCTTTCAAATGTCCACTGATATTTAAGCTTAAAAAACTACGAAAAGTTTATATTTCGCGTAGTCATGCGACCAGGCCTACGACCAGTACTCAGTTCAAGAGTTTATGTATTTTTCTTGATTTTGTTACACTGTATTAATAGTATCTCTGCCAGTTTTAGCACTCTTATAAATTTTTTTTATTAAAATGTTCAAAGAGATCAGCTCAGATAGAAATTAGGGTGTCTTATCTTAAGGCCCTAACTTTTTTTCAATGCAGGAAACAAAGGATTCCAGTCATCTAATAATGATGATGAAAGTTTGCTATACTCTTGCAACTGGTCAACTAATACAAAGTTATCAAACATTCTCATCGAACGTGATACCTTAATAATTGTGATTGCAACTCGAACAAGCTGAAAGCACGAAGACCTGTTGGTGTTATCAGTAAAAGTAAAAATTATGTCTAAGTAACTACATATGTACATACATATTTAGGAGAGCAATTAAAAACAACCTATTTCTTACTTATATAAATTTACACTCCTTACAATTCAGACGATCATCGCGCGCGTTAATTTGAATTGTGAGGAATTTTTATATGTATCTCGCCGCGAAAAAAACTAAAGGGATTTATTAGTTTGTAGCGTACATATGTATGTACCTACTTCAGTATATTTATGTGTCCCAATAGGCAATTCGGAACCTAAATACATAAATACTATAAAAAAAAAACAAGAATGAGTGCGCCTGGGCCGCGCTAAAGAGGCAAATTTCATTTTCATTGATTCATTTCTTAATCGTGTCATAATCCTGATAGTTGTATGTTTCGAACTACTGAACTTAACATAACATAACATAACACTGTGGGTGAGTGATTTTAAATTGATCATATCGCAAATACAGAAATAAATTTTATTTGTGATTAGAATCGCTGGCCAATTCAGAAACAGAGAACCAAAAAATGTTTAGACGGCAGCTTTTTCTTTTAGATAAAATTTTAAGACTACATTTTTTCGATGTTATTTATTTTTGTTCTTTGCGAAAAACCTCAAACAAAAACATAAAATTTTAAAGTCGTTCTTCCCACAAATGACCGATATGCACATGGGTGAAAATCACGGGGAAACCATGTATGAATTCGTTATCCAAAGTCTCACTGGGCTAACCGACAAATATTTTTGTAAGTATAGTTTTTCTTTTTTTTTAAACAACTTGAATTAAGTAGCTGAGTGTTAAGTTAATTCTTAGTCTTTAAGAACAGACGAGCGATGAGAGGCCTTTTTGGTGATGCACTTAACTATGAAAGTGTAATGCAAACGTCGCCGATAAAAAAAATTTAAAAAAATATTGGCGGATGATACATACGTACATATATATGTATATATTTATGTATGTATCTGTACTCTACTGTTATCGTCAGGAATAAAAAATTTAAACAATGTCGTGCTTAAAAAGGTATGAAATAGTAAAAGACAATGCAAAAAGATTCTAAATTTTCCACTGAATGGTATAATCTACAAAAGCTAAACGCAGTAAAATTAAAAAACTTAACCGTCGGGAACGTAAAAGTGTTGATATTTAATACAGAGGAGGTAGCCGCTACGCTTGTTAAATACGACACATTTCCATGCAGCTGGGGACAAGCAACTTTCAATTCTACAACATTGAATCGCACATCGAAATATTCTTCAAAAGTAACCAAAAGTGATAAATATATGTACATATGTGTATTAAGTGGTCTCAAAAATATAAAAACTTCCATGAATTAGAGATAGTGGCTTCTTATAAAAATATATTTTGAGAAAAAGTAACAATTTAACTGACACAACGAGCCCACAACCGCAAAAAATACGTAAGCGACATTTTTATTTTTATTTTCTTTTTGGAGCAGAAATATTTCTAGAGCATCTACATAGATGCATTTCTGCAACGAAAACAAAAATATAAAAAAATTTCACTTATGTCCTTTTTGCGGATACGGCATTTACGGATATTTAAAATTTCTGTGTAAAAAAAAAATCCATATCTTTTGACACATAAAAGCAAGTGCGATTATCCGAACTCAATTCAATCTCTATACCACATTTGAAATTGTTTTTGAATTACGAATTTTGATCGCAGTTTAATTTACAGAAAAAAGAGTCTGAGCGAGGATCGTAAAATGCGGAGATCTAGCGCATACCAAAGTATACTCAGATATACAAGTTCCTTTATTTTCCTAGTATTAACAACAGGTGAGTTTGGTATCCGCAGACAATTTTTCAATACCGCCTTGTATGGCTCTTCTAACGGCATCTATCTCAGCACAAACCACGGCAGTGGAACAAATTGCGCTTAACTCGAATAACTCATGGCTAACTGTCTCCACCCACGATCTCACAGTACTAGTTCAGGAAAATATAACTTTTGAAGTTATATTAAGGCAAGTACAAAAATATGAGACGTGTAAACTTCCCCTACAATAATTGAAAGCCAAATTTTACATTTACACCAAAATATTTTATCAATTTTGTAGTGGTCCACCAGATAAGGACATCTCAATCAGATTTGTGAGACAGCATGAGACACTTGTTGAATTGTATCCACATGAATTCACAATCAGTTCATCGAATCCACAAAATCAGACAGTAAGCATACTCGGTGTTAGACCTGGACATTTGGAGATCACGGCTAGAAGTGTACCGAACGATTCGTGGATGTAAGTATGCTTGGACTTGCACTTTTGATTTCTAAAAATATTTCTAAAGGTATATAAACTTTTTATCAACAGTGTCAACGACTTATTCGTACGCGTTATAGTAGCCAATTCTGAGATTATCAATTACATATCGCTCGCATTTGGCTGGTTTTATTTTTTAGCCTGGTCCATCTCATTTTATCCACAAATTTATATTAATTTCAAGCGCAAGTCCGTGGTTGGACTCAACTTGGACTTTCTTGCCTTCAATGTAGTTGGTTTTGCGTTATATGCCGTTTTCAATTTTGGCCTTTACTGGATACCCGAAGTACAAACGGAATACAACAGCCGTCACCCGCGTAGTGTAAATCCGGTTTTGTTAAACGATGTAGTTTTTGCACCGAATGCATTATTAGCAACAATTTTGACAGTCATGCAATGTTTCATTTATGAGGTGAGTTGAAGAATATTTACAAGAATGAATGTACATTTGGCTACAAATATGTATGTATGTATGTAGTTTGATAGTAAAAGTTCTTTGTCTGCCCTTAAAATTATATCTGAAGCCAGAGAGCTGAAGGGATTTGGAAAAATATGCTCTCATACCTCAAATACAGTGTCCATATTAGAGATGGGTGCGGGACTAAATAGCCAATCCTGATCCCACTCATGCCGATATTCAAATTTTAAGCCCGGAGTCCGCCCATACCGACGCACAGTGTTTCGACTATATGTAAAATAGAAAATTGAATTTCAAGAACTAAAAAAATGTCCACATGTTAGTCAGATCATAAGAGACCTGAGTGCCATATTTCATCAAAACCATTTTTTTTTCATCGAATTTCGAAACACCCTATACCGATGAAAAAATTTCTTCATTAAACAAAATAAAACTTTATGTAGATGTATGACAAGCCAGCGTCTCTAGTTTGAGATCTCCTTTTTGAATTTTCTTTTCAAAAGTATAATAATAATAATAAAAATAATCAGTGTTGCCAGAACTTTTTGGGCGGACCGGCTAAATTGGCCGAAAAACGTCTAGAAGTCGAAGTGTTAGATCGTTCAAAAGGGATTTCAATTAGAAATGTTCAACGTCTCCAATAATTAAAATCTGGTCATCTGAACCTTAATTAGGTAACAATTGCGTGTCGATCGAATGTTACTTCTCAAAGATGTGATGAATAAACTCGATGCATCCTAGTTTTTTCTACTCTTTCCTTCAGCTGTAAAAATAACACCGTGCGACAGTAAATTTTACACTAAAAAAAATCAATATATTCGCGAAACCATAGGCTAAATATTTGGTAGCCATATTGTTATTCTACATTGCATTGAATTTTTAAAATAATTTTTTGGAATTGATGATATTAACGAAATTACAAAGTCCTTGAAAAAAATCCTGATGTCAGAGAGAAAAACTAGAAACGTAGTTTTATTATATTTGGCCCACAGTTTCGAGAGTATATTTATTGCTTTGTGTCCCGAATGCCAAGAGTGCTCGAGAGTTAGGGTGGCCAGATATTATAGTGACATAATCAGTACAGTTGGGATCAAAAATCAGTACAAAGCCATAAAAATCAGCTCATTTTTAAGCGAATTTTTTATTATTAACAATATAACAACCAAGTAACAGCGCATTAATTTAAAAAAAAAAATAACTATTAGACTTTTAAATACATATAGTATTATCAATATAAAAATTCATTACTTTAAAACAAATCAAAGGTATTACATATGTGCTCACGAAAATAGTAGTAAAATTTATTCACATTTTTTTTGAAAATTTTTTCTTTCCTTACTTAATTTAAATTTTTTATAAAAATATAGTTAATTCTATAACAAAAGACGTGTGAGTTGAAGTATCAAACTTTCTAGAAAATGTATAAAAATTGAGAAAACGGCGCTAATCGAACAACAAAATTGTCCACTCAATATTTGGCCTTTTCTTAACACCTCTGTATTACTAGTTTTGTGGTGTCCACTAATCTATCAAAGCCAATATTATTCGCATTATTTTTGTAATCCATAATAATTTCTGAATTTGTAATAGTAGTTTAATATTATTACAGCGCGGCAATCAAAGAGTCTCAACACTTGCATCCGGCATTTTGGGTTTGTTCTTCATATTTGTATTAGTAACCATGATTCTCTCTGTACTTGATATCCTTCATTGGCTGGATTTTCTCTACTACTGTAGCTATATTAAATTAATAATAACAATGGTTAAATATATACCACAGGTAAGTTAGCGCTGTAGTGTGCATTTGCCTTTATTTGATTAATTGTGAGTGAGTTGGATTGCAGGCACTAATGAACTATCGACGCAAAAGTACTGCCGGTTGGAGTATTGGAACTGTACTAATGGACTTTGCTGGCGGCGCTTTTAGCATGCTGCAGATGATCTTAAATGCCTACAATTATGGTAATGATAAGTGGTGTTGAAAACGTCGTATTTTATTTTTTTTTTTGTAATAAAAATGTATATTTTTCCCATTTATAGATGATTGGATTTCAATTTTTGGTGATCCGACTAAATTCGGTTTGGGCCTACTGTCCGTTATTTTCGATATGTTATTTATTCTGCAGCATTATGTATTTTACAGGTTAGTTAGTACAGATTGTCGAAATGTTTTAAAAAAATTTAGACTCTATGAGTATTTGATTTGTTAATTTCTTAATGTACATTCATATCGTGTAATATGCATTAACGTTATCGTTTTTTTATATTTCTTTAAATGTTATAGAACGGAGAGTAATCCACCAGAAAAATCGTCCAACGGGCTTTATAATGGAGCAACGGGGGAGTACTCCTCTTTGGTCAAACATCCTAAATGTAATTGCGAATCTTTAAGTTTAAAATAGGCGTATGGCATGAAAACCATTTTAAATTGGCTAAGAGGCACATTATTATGTATTATGTACATATGTATATTTATGTAAGTTATATACTCCTAAAGTTAATTATAATAAAGTATTGTAAGACCCGTTTTCTATATCTGCACTCCACAAAATCTTTACTTTTAAGTCAAATTAGACTTCAGTCTTTCTTTTAGGGTATAAAAATTGCAAAAAACGGAAGCTTGTGATCCCCATATTAACGTATGTACACTTATTAGAATATACGAGTATTTGTAAATTAATATGGTGGTCGCATGAGGCGATTTTCCAGGCAATTTCAGAGGCGATTAGTTGAATCAAAAGTTGGCTGCACCCCAACTTTCATTGGAAGCGATTAGTTGAAAGTCCGTTCGCACCAGGCGATTTTTGCTTTCAACTAAAAGATGCCTGTAAAATCGCCTCATGAGAACACCGCATAATGCAATTGTATATGGGCAAATCTAAAAAATAGGTACACTTTCCAAAAAAAAATATTTTAATTTTTAAATTTGTGAGCACACCTTTGTTTTATATATCATTTTATTCGTAATCTCTTAATAAATCGATTAATATAAGTTTAATTCATTTTCATCAAATGCTTCAAAAGTTAGACGAGGAATAAACATGAAATAGAAAAGAAAAGAATAAGCTGGTTTCACATTACGCTACTCGAGTTGTAAATTTTGAGCAAAGATTATGAAAGTTGAACTCTCTTAATTGGAACGTTCTAAATGCAATGGCATACCCCACTTTACCAGATTGGCTGCGGTTTTCGAGATAACGGTACTTGAAAAGTTTATTAAATTTTAACTACTTTATAAATAACTACCTCAGTTTTGAAGTTATTTAACTAAAATTTTGCACACAACGGGTTTGTAATATTACCTTAATTATTCATTAAAATTATCGCAATGGGTTCACTTTAACATACAGCTCCAATACAACTGATTACTCAGATATGTGTTTTTGCAGAGCATTATGTCGGGCGACATCAGGAGGCATCCTGTCGCTGTCCTGCGTGCGGTGTTCTGCGGTGATCTAACCCCGTTTAGGTCGGCGAAGTATCTCACCGGATCGTGAATACCCCTAGTGTTTTCCTGTGGAGACAGGGTCTTATGCACACGCATATGAGCGAATCCGAGAACGGTAAAAAAGCAGGCAATTAAAAATCTCGCATT